GTATGGACTCCGCCCCGTTGTTATAATACTCTGTCCGTAAAATAGGAAATAAAAATAAAAATCGGTTTTGGTCGACGGCAAGTTTAGAAGTTCTTTGATCAGCAGTCGACCCCGCGCTAAATTTAGACAAAAATTGTTAAATTCCTTCAACATAAATTATAGTCTTACACGAGTCAGGGTGTTTCATTAGTACATGCAAGACATGTGAAGCAAAGTTAGGTTAATCTTGATTTAGTACCTGGTTAAAAGACAAAGCTAATAAAATGTAAAGACAAATTCCATTACAAAATCTTAATTCTCAGTCATATAAGCCAGCTTGCTCACTAGTGGTTTTATATTCTTTTTTTTTATCTCTATATCTTTGCCCCAAAAGGGCAATGTATATATAACATGCTTTACAATTGGGCCTTGTCAAACTTAGCATAAAATGATGATTTCTATTATTAATGCATTTTTTTATATTTTTGCTCTGAACATGGCTATGGACTAGAAACCACAGAAAAATATGTTACTATGTGTTTGGAATAATTGTATCCTGCCCTGAGGTGTTGACTATGCAAAGCAATAAATATACAATGCAAAGGGAAAGATTCCTATCCTACAAAAATTGTAATTCTATCTTGGGTGTCGCTGCTCGATAATCAAATTTGGTCTCCCGCAGCTTCCCTTTCCTGGTAAACTGTGTAAGTATAGATATAATTTCCTCGTAATTTGTGCTTGAGTGATAAATATTAATGGTTGGAAAAAATGAATTTGATCTAACTTGAATAGTAATTACTTACATATCAGTGACTCCTTGTACAGCACCTTAATAAGAGCAGAAAAGCATGAATAAGTGCAGAATAAAAAAAGAAAAATTGAAGATCTCTTACTTGTGATACCAAATATAGACTAATAGAATATGATTTACATGTTTATCCCGGAATTGAGGTAAGCTGTTAAAATAGTTCATTAAAAAAAGGCGAACCGAAGCCTTTTGTCCGGTTAGCAGTCCATGTTAGCCAGGTATTTGTTTTCGGAAGCACGGACGGGAGTGTAAAAGAAGCCGTAACCAACCAGCAATTACATGATTATGCAGTGTAATCAGAGGTGCTGTGGAAAGCGTGTTGCTAACGGTTAGCACAATGCGCCAATATAATAAACATTATTTGACTATGCTGGCTTCAACATTGTTGGGTCAGAAATGTTGTCTTTCTGTTTATTATTATTAAACTACTTGCTCTGTTTTTTAGCATTTACTAAATTCAATATACCAAGTAATTTTACTTACAATAAATGTAAGAAAATGTCTGCAACACAAACTCCAGTAATTATACAACCACCTAGCAAAAATGAAAACTCTGGAAAAGAGGACAAAAACCAAGGTTTGACATTCTAGTTTTTGATAATTCCAATTTTTAAGCAAGAAAATTTGGTGCTATTTTAGAGTGAGTTCTACGGTGATATGTTCCTCACATAGGTGTAGCCTGAGGTGTACTGTGTCTCTAACAGAATTCACTTATCTCTTAAAGTCATTCTTGGGATATACACAAATGAAGCGTTTTCCACAAAATTAAATATGTGATGAATGGCAGACCTTATGATATGTTAGTAGCTTGAGGCAGATTTCCGCTATAGTGTGGTAGACCTAACACATTAATTTTTATATGTTTTCTCCAACTAAAAAAAAATAATCCCTTATAAAAGAGTTTGACAATGTACTATCCATAGACATAAAAGCAATTTACTTGATTCGGTTAGCAGGTAGTCAGTATCTTTTTATCACCATTTTATTCAATATATCTAACTAAATAACTGTTTATTCAGATCCTGCATATAGTCCCAGACCTTCTCAAGCTATTGCCGAAGAAGAAGCTGAACTCGGACAAAAACCTAAAGAAAACACACCAGTAGATCCAAAAGGTTAGAGGAAACATAAATCTCTTTTTGCATATTTTTAGGCAGTGTATGAAGCATAATCTAAAGTAGTGGTTCTCAAAATTTTACGTTGAGGCCCGTTTTTGGAATTTGACAAGTCTTGTGCCCCACCTCAGAAATGATTAGGTAACAATAAGCTACAAATAACAGATGGTAAGGCAAAAGTATATTTTGTGGGGCATAAAACGTGTGATAACCGTCCTAACTTCAGTCAAGCATAGAGGAGAAAGAATGACATTGTGTGATAACTGATAACTCAGCGTTGCGGCTCATCGTACTATCGTCACGCACCTCTTGATTACTCTGCGAACCAAATGCTAATCAATAAATGATTTATTGTTTGATCAGTCTTGCTGTCTCATCACTTTTCCTGTTATCTCATACCAATATTGATGTTTGAATTGCGAACCCTCGACAAAATATTTCGTCAATGCCACTTAACGGTCTTTAAATTTTCTGCTCGGTCAGCTGTGAATTCTTATCCATTTGTGTCATGGTATCTACATTACAAAAAAAGTTTATTTCTTAAAAGCTTCAGTTATGTGGAATTCATCAAACTATAGATGGTTCCCTAACCTAAACTAATCCAAGTCACATGCCCAATTTAGACTATATCCCAAAGTGGTCGCTCAGGACTGGTTAGGGTATGAATTACATATTTATTTGGGGAAAATGAAAGATGATGAGATGGCTCAATCACATGGCGAACCATGTCCTCTCTTTAAGTGAAAACCTTCACTATGAATCTGAAATTTTATTCTATCCTGATACACCATATATAAATATTTTTCATTATTCGTTTTTATACAGAAGAAAACATTCATCTGAGAGACATTGACAGGGGCCGAAGTTCCAGAGGAAGATCAAAAAGTCGTGACAGAAAGATAAAGGGTGAAACACATTTCCATTTCATTATTTGAAGCTTTACACTTGAACGCGCATAATTCCGTCGATTGCACTTTTTTATAGTATACTTTTTCATTCTGTCTGCGCCTAACAAGGCCCTGAACAAGCAACCACTGTTAACTACCCATGTGTGAAGAAGTTGTTGTTGTAAGGGCCAAAACCTTTTTGATTTGCCTGCTGTTGCATGGAATCACAGGTTCGAATTTCATGTAGAGAAAGTATGCTGTTTAAATATGACTCTATCTGCAACCCTAATCTATCCATTCTTAGTAATGGACAGTTTACTCTTTCTATCTATACCTGGTTGGCATGGTTGTGATATAAACCGAAGTGAATTGTCATATGATTAAGCCATCTTGTTGACTTTTCTTTTTACTAGTAAAATTGAATTAATAATTGAAATAGTTCAATGGAATCCTGTGGGGGATATTTATGCGTGAGAGGATTGCTGGGCTCATCGGCAGCGTAGGGTGGTTTACGTAATCGCTGGTTGGTAATGACTACATGCAACTGAAAACTAATAACTGACTAACTAACCCTCATACTGAAATGGCCTACTAACCAAACGGGAGGCTGTGGTTCGCCATAAGAATAAATCATATTATCGGCTCTTGTCTCCCCCGGGATAAATATGTAAATCCTATCCACTACAGCAGTGCCTCCCAACCTGTGGGTCGCGACCCCGGATGGGGTCGCGAGCAAATATTCCGGGGTCGCCTAACTTCTTGCGAATGTAAATTAATTCGCTTATATTTATCGATAGTTTGAAATTAGTAAAGTGATGTTTTTAAAGGTCAGGTAGAGAATGCGATTTAGTGATTAGAACGTCAATGATGTATCCACGTTTTCAGCTTTTTTATGCGTGTTGTTCAATTCGAAGTATTGTTGTCTTTGGCCCTGATTTGGCAACAATCTTTACACGTGCACTTGCAGACTAAACCATCTATGTTTTCGGTTGAATTCGGTTTCATGATAGATCGAGTTTAAGGGAGAGATAGTTCCATGGGGTTGGAAAAGTGACCTTTAAGTTATGTCCACTACGCTTAATCATTGTATCGCGCTGATGCGTTGTTCCTCTGTCAGTGTGCCGGTAACGTAATGTTGAAACGTACCGGTGTCGTAAATTGCATACCGATGAATAAATAGTCGGGAGATTTGCTTTACCTGTTCAACTGACTGCAGGGAGAACGAATTTCTTCATTTTGCCAAACCAAAAACATACGTATATAAGAATAAATAAAGATGTAAAGATTTGCTAATTTTCCAAAGCATTTACTTACCGGAACATTTCAAATTAATATAAAACATAACTGAACCATTATCACAAATTCTTCACTAAAATGACATCCGGAAATTCAAGAAAACGAGGTTATGAAAAAGCGTTTGTAAAACTTGGATTTACTGAAGTAAATGGTAACCCTAATTTTGTGTCTGCGAGAAAATTCTTTTCAAAGAATAAATGAAACAAAACAAACTACTACGTCACCTCGAATCAAATCACCCGGGTTGCGTCAATAAACCCGTTGAATATTTTGAACGCAAATTGAATGTGCTATTAGCACAAGCAAAAGTCATGAAAGTATTTACTACTGTAAATAAATCCGCTGTATACGCTTCCTTTATTGCTTCTTACGAAATAGCAAGGCAGAAGAAACCACATACAATCGGAGAAAAACTGTTACTACCAGTAATTAAAATGGTTGTAAACATCATGATAGGAGAAAAGGAGAGCGAAAAGTTGAATTCTGTCGCATTGTCGGACAACACCGTTAAAAGAAGAATCGAAGACATGTCCGGTGATGTGCTTGACCAAATCGTTGATCAAACGAAAGCTTCTCCTTACTATGCCATTCAATTGGACAAATCTACCAATGTAGCAAGTTTCCCACAACTCTCAGTATTTATAAGATATAGTTATAACGGAGAGGGTCTTGGAAAATCTGTTGTTTTGTAAAACTCTGCCATTACATACGAAAGGGCAAAACATTTTTGAATGTCTTGACAGATTCGTCATTCATAATTCAATCCCGTGCGAGAATTGTGCGGGAATTTGCACCGATGGCGCAGCGCCAAATACTGGTATCGAGTCTGGAGTTGTGAAACTAGTTAGAGACAAAGTCCCAGGCATAAAATGGATGAACTGTTTTCTGCACAGGCAGGCATTGACAACAACAAAAATGTCGGAGGAGTTGCATGAAACACTAGATGCTGTTATAAAATCCGTTAACTACATTAAGGCAAGACCTCTCAATCAACGTCTGTTTTCTTCTTTGTCACAGGAAATGGGCTCCGAGCATTCTTCATTGTTATTATATTCAGAAGTGCGATTGTTGTCACGAGGTCGAGTTCTAAATAGAGTTGTTGAACTGCAACAAGAGATAATCACTTTTTTAACGAAACAGAAACAAATATCTTTAGCTGAAAAATTCAGCCAAGAAAATTTTATAGCAAACGTGACGTATTTAGCGGATATATTTGCCTCGTTGAATTCGCTCAATCAAGCCATGCAAGGTCCCGGATTCACTGTCATCGATCACAAAGCGAAAATTACAGCTTATTACAAGAAGTTGAATTTGTGGAAAAGTTACGTGATACGAAATGAATATGATATGTTTCCCCTGCTGAAGGCATATATTTTTGAAAGAAACGTCAATATGCGGGATACCATATCTGAGCAACTTGCTAAAAGGCTTGAACAGTATTACGATATCGCAATAACGCCCACTAACAAGCAAGATTGGATGATTAATCCATTTGCAATTACAGATTATCCTGAGCTGCCCCTACGTGTTGTAGAGAATCTCATGGATATGACTGCTGAGCCATCAAACCGACTTTCATTTGCATCATTCAAGGAAACACATTCAAAATTATCTGCAAACTTTTATTTTTGGGCTTCAATGTGTTCGGTTTATCCGACTGTGTCAAAATTTGTGATAAAGGAGTTGATTCCTTTTGCAACAACATACCCCTGCGAAGCAGGATTCAGTGCATTGGCTGTACTTAAAACAAAACACAGAAATAGGTCGAGTGTAGAAGATGACATGCGACTGTGCCTCAGTAACATTACACCAAGGTTTCAAAAACTGACAAACGATGTACAGGCGCAATCTTCTCATTAACATAATTGGAGCCACTGCTAGCTGCTGCCAGACACCCAGAAATTACCAGTCATCCCTTTGGCTTGTTTGTTTCCCGAGGATACGTACAATGTGTCTGAACAGTCAGTTTGAGTCGCTGGCTTACTTCAGTGAGAAGACGATACGCGGAACAGTTAAACCAAATAAATAAACTAGAAAAGAGAAACGAAAAAAAAAAGTAAATTCTAAGTTTGAAATTCATGTGCATGTGCTCATTTCCGTATTACGCTCGCTCTCAAATGGCGACTTTTGTCACTTCGTCTCACCTGCTTTGAAAGCTATACTCCCGCTCTCCACGGTCTTCTCTTAGCCCAGCCTTGTCGACTAACGCCAAAGATAAGCAAACAAACAGTTCGTTGTTTTATTCGTTATATCTCTGTTCTTTCCGTGAATATACTCTTTCTATTTATTATGCCGTAATCTAGTTCTAACATGTATTTCTTACGGTTTTTAACCATACTATAATTTATACAAATAGTAGTTTTGTGGGATTTTAGAACAAATTAGGGCATTTACAGGTGAAATGTGTCCCTAACTACGAAGGGATTTAGGAACGAATTAACTTCGTAGGTATGGTTTCTAATGCTTTTCTTGTTGCGGGGTGGCGAGTATCTGTAAATGTTGATTTTACGAAAATTGGGATCGCGAAAAAAAAGGTTTGGAACCACTGCACTACAGTACAGTACATCTTTCTAAAGAGTGAGATTGTAATTCGTGTTGACTGCTGGGGATACTCAAATCTGTGATTGGACCTGAGACGGACTCGAACTTTTTTTAAAACTGAAAGCGAATCCAGTTTTCTAACTGATATGTTAGTGACTTGACACTCGAGAGTGCTCCACTTGTACTTGGGACTCGAAGTTTTGAATTTGCCGAGACTTGGACATGACTCAAAACTTGAGTGAGAAATTTATAGACCAGTGGTTCTCAACCTTTTATTGCTCATGGCCCCATTCCGGGGCCTTTTGCGCTCGTGGCCCATTGTACGTCATTCCAAAAAACTAAGCGTGTTAGATTGTATTATGTTTTTACGACCTTTCATGGAATAAAAAAGCCAACCACAGACAGGAAAGTAAAAGCTTTTCAGTATACAATCAATGGGAATCGTGCGCTTGGGACTGTCTGACGAGGTTTCTTATATTAGATACCGTCTTTAATAAAGCCAGACGAATGTCACTGTCAAGCAACATCAAGACGGTTTCTGAATTTTGTTTCGATGGTAACAAGATCAGAAGAACCCTATTCGCGCACAAGAGTTTTGGCAAATTCAACTAGCAGTGAATAAGATTTCTTGCTAAGTAGTGAGTAAGAATCTGATATGCCACTTCATGGCTGCATATTAGAGCGGGCTTTTCCTCCGACAGAAACCCGAACTTAGCCAATGTTGCTTTCTTGTCAATCTCACTCGCTTGGCAGCCAAGAAACCGAATTCAACGTCTATTAACGGGGGTGATTTTTTTCACGGGGGTTTTAGAGTTTAGATGGACGTATGTTTCATTGCTCATTACATGCAAGCATCGAGGCATATTCTCTGTCATCTCGATTTACTTTGGTAAAGCCAAAGCCAACGTAACTGTCGTTTCATTTTCGTATTTTGGGCATTAGGAATTTACAAATGGGTTTTTGCGTTTATAATACATACGATAGCGAAGGTTATTATCGCGAGTCTATGAGACTGCACGTCTCAGGCTAGACGGCCTACCGGCGACCTTCTTTGATTGGTAGATTCCCAAATTCCATTATGATCAAGGACATTGACCGCCACAAGAACAGTGGAATACAGTCCTGCGATCCGCAAATAGGCGATTGCAAATGAACTGCGGTGAACGCCTGAACGGGAAATTTCATTTACAAAATAAAAATTAAAAGAAAAGTATGCGAACAAAGTCGCTTTATGATCAATTCTCAGTCGTGTGTTGTGGTCCCCCCTCGAGCTGCTTCGTGGCCCCTTTGGGGGGCCCCCGGCTTCCGGTTGAGAACCACTGGTATAGACTGAACTTCCATTTAGATTCAAGAGCGTTAGAAATAAGCTGGCCATCGTACCTCTGATTACCCTACGTGGGTCCTCCACTAACGCTTAGCACAATGCACCACACCGCCGAGTCAGAATTCTGTACTTACCTGCGTAGCTCTGTTTGGTAATTAACTATGTGGTGTCAAAAGCGCTAATGCTTGGCATAATACACCAGCTATCTCCACCAATTTTTTTTTATCTCCATTTCATTAGGTCAACGCAATTTAACCTTTGATTCACATGATGTCAATGTGTTGTTAGGAGACACAAAAACAACATCAGGTTAGTTTAATTGAAGTTTTAGATCGACCGAGCAGTGGAACGTTGTTATCTATTTTTCCTTTTGTCCCAGAATTTTGATAAAGTGCACTGGTCTGTGTTCATTATGCTTTATGCTACAGTTTGATTAGACCTCTGATTTTTTTTATTTGTTTTGAGCTGGTTAAATAAACACATATTTTGACAAATGGGTCATTTTATGGGCATTTCATAGCATGATAATATCTTATCATATCACAGCAAGATATTTTTCTCAGTTAACTATCGGAGTAAGGCTTTTCTTGTCAACTTAATCTATTTTCGAATTTTTGAAGTTAAATTAATGTAGCATAGGACAGTGGATAAAATAAGATTTAAATATTTATCCCTGGGGAGAGGATGGTCGATAAGTCAACTTAATCAAAAAGCGAATCATGGCCTCTCAGGTTATCAATCCATGTCGGGTATGTGATCAGTTAGCCAGTAATTTGTTTCAGATGCAAAGATTTCAAAGTAGGAGAAGCTGTGTGAAACACCCTACAACGGCAAGTTATCGCACATAATTTTTTCCACAGGATTCAATCTCAATCAGGATAATCATAGATGCAGTGGGAAGTGTATTCCTAACACTTAGCACAATGTGCCACCCACCCCAAGTCTGACCACAATACAACAATAGTTTTAATACAATGCTTCCTCATGCATTTTGCTGTGAACAAGACCCAGTATAAGCATCCTCTAATTCTTAATGTGAATAAAAATGTATTTAAATATTCAGCAACCGGGCTCATATGCCGGTGGAGATGATCAGTCAAATACAACACGTTTTTATAAGTTAGTTACAAATAGTTTTGTCAATAATAACAAAATATCACATCAATCATCAATAATAACAATCAAATATCATCAATAATACCAAAATATCCCCCCCCCCCTAAATTAAATAGCTGGGAAACATAATGACATGTGATTGATGAAGATTTGCCATCTGCAAAGATATTTTCGGTTTAGATATTGATTCCCAAAAAAGATAGTTCAATATTTTGCACCCCAACCCTATGTAGTATCTTGCTTTGAGTGCTTGATAAAATTTCAAAATTTTCATTTTTATTGCCAGATTTGAACCAGATTTCTCAATTTGGCACCGATGTTGACAAGTTGCCATCTGCAGAAGCAAGAGCTCAACACTCAGAACGTAAGTGAAACCATATGCTACGATTCCGGATCATAATTGGGGGCTCCAGAAGTGTGTGTACCTATATGGAGATAACTAGTTTTGTTTGTCTACCTTACATCAAGTTGTTTTAAGGGGATATTCACTTGGCTAACACAGACATTTGCAAACTTGTATTAGAACTAAAATAAGAAACATCGGAATGAAATTTTGGCCTAACCCTAACCTTGTACACACACTACGGGTGAATCCATAATTGTCATTGTATCATTGTCACATTTATTTGCTATTTTTGAGTCCAGTGGGGATGATTAAGTGCAAGGCTCCTTCCAGACACAAAGTTTTTCCAAATCGTTTGTTTTACTCTTTCATTGAAGTCCAAGCATCTGGAACAACTGGTTAATTACTATAGCGCTCATTGACGTAAATCAAAAAATGTAATACGACAGCAAAAATGAGTTGCTCCAAACAGGTACAGATCATAAGCCTGGCATATAATTGAGACAATTTGGTAAACTTGGGACAGTATTTGGAAATCATGTGGCATTTGGTATCATGTGGCAACTCACAGCCTTTTGTCTAGTTAACAATCAATGTCGGGTATAGGATTTGTTAGCCAGTTATTCGGTTCAGATGTATTGGCGAGGAATCTATAACTGACCACCGGTTACGTGAACCACCCTGAATAATGTGTGGAAAAATAGACATTGGGTATCAACTTTTTCACACCAGTATAATGAAACAAGAAATACTTCAAAGTGTTGATGACGAATTTTGAGCAGCTTTTCCTAACTTCTGCAACTAGACCCAAACTCTGGAGAAAACAAAATAATCAATGACTTGTTAAACCCTACCTAAATTTTTCAATTAGAACTGAAAACTGACAAACATTAAATTCACAATGTTCACGACCATGCCTGAAAACTGTGGGATAGAAAAAGTTGAAGTAGAAAAGTGTTTGAGCAGTTTTTGAATTTGAATTTTTATGTCAGCTTTAACATATTGCTTATGAGCCACTCATTTGGATTTGAACAAATCAAGGGAAACATGCTTAAACTTTATATTCACATGGGCAGGGAGGATTTGAATATAATTTAGTTGAATGTTTGCATCAGTGATGTTTTAGAACAAGGGTGTCAAACTTGTGGCCCCGGGGACGCATGCGGCCCTCGAACAATCAACAATACTGTAATCTTTTGTAATGTTTTTTATCTGAATGCAATACATTTTTCAAACTTTCAAGTGAAATTGATTATTCACACAGAGAACGACAATTTACAGAAAGTAGTTTTGAAAAGTTACATTTTTTTGTTCACATTTTGACCCAATTATAAATACAAGCTAGCAGAAAAATACTTGAAAAAAAAACACACACATTGATTAAATGAAACGCAAAGTTCATGAAGGGGGCGTTAATGAAGAAAAATGGGTGTTGCAATATTGCTGCATTTTAAAATAATCCAAATTAACCGATGATCATGCGACCTCGTTAATTAGAGTAAAAGAGTAGTACCGTAAAATCATTTCATCCTGATA